GTGCCCACGGTGACCCCGAGGAAGTCCATGGCACCCCGCCCAGCACGCCTCGGAAATAAAAAAATGGGCTTAGGGGCTTAGGGGCTTAGGGGGTTAGGGGCTTAGGGGTTTAGGGGTTTAGGGGTTTAGGGGTTTAGGGGTTTAGGGGCTTAGGGGGTTAGGGGTTTAGGGGCTTAGGGGGTTAAAGGGTTAGGGGTTTAGGGGCTTAAGGGCTTAGGGGTTTAGGGGCTTAGGGGTTTTGGGGTTTTGGGGTTTTGGGGGTTGGGGGTTTAGGGGCTTAGGGGCTTAGGGGTTTGGGGGGGTAGGGGTTTAGGGGCTTAGGGGTTTAGGGGTTTTAGGGGTTTTAGGGGTTTTAGGGGTTTTAGGGGTTTTAGGGGTTTTAGGGGTTTTAGGGGTTTTAGGGGTTTTAGGGGTTTTAGGGTTAGGGGCTTAGGGGTCTAGAGGGTTGGTGGGGTTCAGGGTTTAAAGGTTAGGGTCGAGGGTTTAGGGTTGAGAGGTTTTAGGGTTTTAGGGTTCTGGGGTTCAGGGGATTCAGGGGATTCAAGGGATTCAGGGGATTCAGGGGATTCAGGGGATTCAGGGGATTTAGGATCGTTGTGATTAATGCAATCGATCGTGTGGACTCAGGGCTTGTGATTTCGCGCCAAGACATGCGCGCGAGACTCTTCTTCTAAATAGTGGGTGTCCCCTTGTTTTTCCCACTGGGCTGAAGCCCAGCGAGTCCCAACCCCTTGACTGTATTCGCTGTTGATCCCACCCTAAACACTGAACCCCAAACCCTAAACCCGAAACCCTTATTAAACCCTAAACCCTAAAAACTGAGTTGCAGGGGGATAGAATCTCCGTGGTCGCAAAACTGGATCTTGGCTTATTACTTGCATCTCATTGCTGTATGTCCCATACGTGGTATGCAACGTAAATCACTCGACCCCGAAGCCCTAAACCCCTAACCCCGAAACCCCCGAAACCACCGAAACCCCCGAAACCCCCGAAACCCCCCAAACCCCCCACACCCCCCAAACCCCCCAAACTCCAAACCTTCAAACCTCCAAACCTTCAAACCCCTCAAACCCCCAAACCCCTCAAACCCCCAAGCCCGTGCAGAAACCGAGCCCAAGACGGCGGGGCCCGGCGAGGCGGCCCGTCTCCCAGGTCCTGCATGAAAGCGGTTCAGGGCAGGGTTTATGAAGGGTTCTCATAGGGTTTTTGTAAGTCTTATAGGGTTTCTAGCATTTCTAGGGCTTCTAAACTTTCCAGGATTTCTAGCGTTTCGGCTGGCACAGCATAACTCTACCAACGTTCAAAGCCATCATGCGCACGAAGGGTTCAAGGATTGGGGTTGCGGGTTCCTGTCGGGATTAGGCGTCTGAGGGTTCAGCTGGTAGTAGCTTGTCTCGTAGTCTTGATTACAAACATCTCGCCACACGAAACTCCATACCCTAAACCCTGCGCGATACACCTTCTTACTATTGGTTAGTAGGGAATGAGGGAATGATGTACCATCATCCTATGTATACCCTTTAAGGGATTATATAGGGTACCTCATTCTCTCATTCCTCTAGGCAGCGAGACACTGTCCGGTGAAAAGTTCATCTGCATGGTCATCTGGTCAGGGTTGAAGCCTGCAGCAGGTCGGCTTGCTAAAGACGGGGTTGCAGTCTCAGCGAAGCACCTCTGCGATTGTGTTTCTATACGTATGTATATGTTGAGAACGAGGATACGATCATTTAGAGTCAAAACACGTACCTACACAACCTACTCCTTGTACACGCGCTCGCACAGCTCATCTCTCTCTGTATATGGTACCCCGGCCCGCCCCCCCCCCTTCCCCCCCCCCCCCCCCTTTCCCCCGCCCCCTTCCCCCCCCCCCCCACAGAACAAAAAAAAGGAGAAACTACCATTTTGTCTACATACTACAAATTTCTTGATCCGCCGCCCTGGAGTGGAACAATATTGAAGAATTTGGAGACTTTGTCTTCAACTCGAGATCCCAGCTTTGCCATTCAGTCTTGGCTTCCGCCCTCCCTCTCCTGGAGTTGAAGAATTTGGGAGAATTTCTTCAACTCCAGTGGGCGCATATGTATTCTAGTATACTAGATCCTTACCATATATTTCTGTACACATGGCAAGTGTGGACTTGCGTATAAACACATGATGATGCACAATCTAGGAAATATAGTGTATAGTTGTACGTGCAGGTGTAGTTCTATAACGATAATAACCAATATATTTGGACGCCAATAACATGCTACCAGGACGTATGAGCACACATGTTTATGTGTGTATAGGTACTTGTGCTATGTATATGTCTGCATATGTATATACCATCATATATGCATATATACATGTACACATGACAGTATCAAGTATGACCACATGTGTTTACATATCGATAAAGCTCTGCAGCCAGTAATATACATTGGTTATTCGAACGTGTGCTGATGAGCCCTGCATATCAGCTATCACTTGAAAAGATCTGAAGACATGTTTTGCCATGTCCTTTGATGCTCATGGTAGAGCCACTATCACCAACAATCGCGCCACACTGCAGCCCATTCCCGTAGAGAACGGGAGTGATTCAGGGGCACGCCGTCATGGACCCCATGGATCGCAAATTGAACCCCGACCCATGCGAAATGGTCTTGAAAGGAGCCTGAAAATATGTGGTGACATACTCTCGATATGCATTACCCGAATGAAATCCAGCGCAATCTTCTAATACCCCAAACATGGCGAGATAATGAAGGACAGCTACTGGGACTATCATCTGATCCCGCCCGCCCTCAAAATATGAACATACATTCTTCTGATGTTGTTGTTTAGGGTTACTTTATCACATGCATGCATTTACCCGCCCGGGCACACATAAATAAGGATGGCGATAAAATGTGTGCAAAGACTGAGCCTTCTCATTTGGGGGTCTCGGAAAATAGGTACCCTACGTAGACCCGAAATAGTAGGATTCCCCCATAGTACGGACCCCACCAAGGGTACCCCTACTGTCGTAAAGCCACATTTGCAACTGAAACCAAGAGCCTATGTATCCCCAGGACTAAGATAAGGCCATTCCGACATCCTGGCCTCGGGCCCCAACTGCTTTTATTCTTATTCTCACTTATTCTCACTATATGTACAGATAGAGACATGCATATGTATGTATGTTCCTATTTACTATGCTTGGAAGTCTCCGCGGCTGTTCCTCTACGCGGCGTTTATGCGCAGATCGTACATCCCAAATCCTAAACCTTTGTTTCTCTTCCTTGCGTGAAGGACTGCGCGTCGGCTCCCCTCCCTTTCTATGCCTCGAAATCCCACCATGTACGGAGGGTTTAGGGTTTAGGGTTTAGGGTTTAGGGTTTAGGGTTTAGGGTTTAGGGTTTAGGGTGTAGGGTGTAGGGTGTAGGGTCTAGGGTTTAGGGTTTAGGGTTTAGGGTTTAGGGTTCAGGGTTCAGGGTTTAGGGTTTAGGGTTTAGGGTTTAGGGTTTAGGGTTTAGGCTGGCAGAGCTGCTCTGCTGCCCGACGTAGGTTGGCCCGACCGAGGCCGGTCGCATGGCGATGAAATTCAGCAAAAAAGGGCAATTCGCGGGCTCTACTACGCATAAATATGCACACGTAGAGGCTGGCCGGCCTCAAACAGCAAGCGCAAAAAAGGAGGGGCTAAACAATTGACATGCCGGGCTTAGGGCTTATCAGGGCTTAGGAGGTTAGGGGGCTTGCGTTTTTTGCAAGGTTTTCGGGTTTCAAAGGCCTTGGACTTGCTGATCGATCACGTGGATGGCATTGTTGAGGATGGTAGCCTCGCGCTACTGACAGTGCCACCAAGTGCTTAGATGAAATCGGGGTCTACGGCTTCGGGTCAAAGAAACACCTACAGCCCAAACCCGGGCCCATACCCGATGCTTCAGCCTCAAAACCCTGAAACCGAACACCTTCAAACCCCCCCAGCACCCAGAGAGCATGACTTGGCTCCAAGAATCAATCCCCTGCCACTGAGGCCACAGCTAGGTTGGGTTCCGCCTGAGAGGGCAGCAAGCGAGGGCGGGGTTGCTGGTGCTGCTGTCGGCGTCATGGTTGTCGTCGCTGGTGCAGAACATGAGAAACCCATCTTCCGGCAAGAGGGTAGTGCAGAACTTGTACTATGTGAGACTATAAACACTTCACAACCGCCAACCCCCCCCCCCCCCCCCCCACGGCCAACCCACCACCATCACCATCACCACAACAAGCACGAAAGACACAACAAACCCCAGCCACCACAACAACCACAGACACCAACACCACCCAAAACAAGACTTTTCACCATCATCATCATGAGCAGCAAGCTGAACAAAAGGGAGGCGAAGCCTCCGCTTCCGGGAGCCCCCCCCCAAAAACGGCGGACTCCTCCGGGGCGCGGGCCCCATCATCGCCATGGAGCATGTCGTCGCCCTAGCCAAAATTTGGGCATCTCGGTTTTGTTGGGATTTGTTCTCAACTTGTTTTTTTTTTTTTTTGGGGGGGGGGGGGGGGGGGGGGGGGGGGGGGGGGAGGTGCTGGGCAGCGGGGGGTTGGGTGGGTCGCCGTCCCCCCCCCCGGTGGTGGGTTCAGACTCTGACTGCAAGCTATGGAAACTCCTGAGAGGACCCCTAACGCCTAAAACCTAGACGTACCACAAAACCTCCACCCCACCCCCTGGCCCCCCCAACAGACCGCCTCACGGTCGAAGTCCATGGCGTCGTCCTCGCCGTAGTCCTCGTCCTGAGGAGGTCAGGAAAGGCCGGCACATGCGCGGAAGGTTGCGTGCTTCATAGGTTAACGTAAAGATACATCACTGAGATTGATCCCGATGAGGTAATTCATGAAGATCATGGCGACAACAGTAACAGACGACCAAAAAAATAACCAAGAACCAAAGTAGTCATAGAAGCCGTACTGGCAATGAAGACTACTCATCAAGAACATGCACTGCCAGTCATTGTAGTAGTAACCATCAGAAGCAAATCATGATCATAGCAACCAGCATCGTCATAATCATATGCCGAAGCATCGTCGGTCATCGTCGATCGTGCAACTTCTTCTTAGCATGGGCCCACAAAGCGGCAAAAACTCGAGGCCTGCGAAAGGAGACCCTAGACTCCTTCCCCAAACCCTTATCCCTGAACCCTAAACTCTACCCCAGACTCCTTCCCCAAACCCTTAAAGCCCTCATCCGCCCAAACCCTAGAGCCAAAACTTTAAGGGCGCTACGAACTCCGCATCGTAGTCGTCATCAGCAAAGTCTTCCTCAGCACGAGCCGTCTTTTCAAGCCGCTTGGCTCTATATTTAATAGGAATCCGAGATAACCTCGAAAAGAGAATTTTGGGGGGACCGAATATTGAGGATCACACTAACCTATAGCGTTCACAGTTTTTGTAGACAGTTTAAGACGTAAGGCCAAGGCATGTTCGGGCAGGTGCCCGCCATCTATTCCCGCCATGGCCTCCTGCAGCCACTTCACACGACTCCCCGAGCCATGAGGGTCAATGTAGGGTTTAGGGTTTAGGATTTAGGCTTTGGGGTTTATGGTTCAGGGTTTAGGGTTTAGGGTTTAGGGTTTGGGGTACGGGGGGTTGGTTCTGAGGGGCGGCTCTAGTAAGTCAGGGCACCCATGATACACGTAGTTCGCTGAGTTCATGTACCAGGTCACTTACCAAAATTCGGGGTTAGACACTGGGGCCTTGGAGTAATTACGAGAACCGCCTTTTGGGGAACCACAGAAAAAGGGGTCCCTCAAAAAGAGCTCCTCCCCATGTGAGTTTGGTGATTCCCTGCAAGGGACGTCGCAACAAGCCCCCGCAATGGACCTCATCCTCCTCCTCGGCGAGGTCGTCATCATCTTCCTCCTCTTCATCGTCTTCCTGACAGCTGTATTGCAGGGGCCTGAAGAGGTAGAGCAGGGTTTGGGGGGCAAGCGGACAGAAGTCTGGTGCGACAGTGAAACAAGAGGAGGGTTTGGGGGCAAGCTACACCGGAAAGCCCAAGGAAACGGGCTGGCTTCCATTGTTCGCCGCACACCTTTTGGGACCCAAGGGTCCCCCCCCCCCCCCCCGGGGACCTCTGTGGCCTCATGTAGCTTGTGAACGCCCGGCCATCTGGTGGGCTCTGTTTCCCGCCCCAGCACAGGAGACGGGCTCAGAGGGAAACCCTTGCGAACGTTGTTCGTCAGGCACCGTTTGCGACCCAGGCGACCCAATGGTCGGCGTAGGCCTTCAGTTCGGCCCCCTCGATAGTAGAGGCTTAGGGTTCAGGGCTTGTTCAGCAGCCCATCTCTCGCAAAACCTCCCTGCAAGCATCCCATGCCCGGACCTCCTCAAAGACAGATCGGAATAATGGTACAAAAACGTCATCATTCTACAACATTTTGCAAGAATGAGTTTCACATTGGCGGCACACAGTGGACAAGATGGGTTCCCTAAAGCTCCTAGCATATTTTATACACAGCGTGGCTCCCAAGGCAGCAACGCGCCTCATCCTCATCTCTATCGAGCTCGTCGTGCGCTGCGCCCTGCGCCACGTCTTTTTTGGTAGTTGATTTTCTGTCTTCAAGCGAGCAATGAATGCTTTGGTGTTGCCGAGGAGAAGACAGAAAAGGCCTGAGGACTACCAAGGAAAAGGGACCTCGAGGATGGATATGCTTGCCTCCTAATGACAGGCCCGTTCTTCTTCTTGTACTGCCACTCCTCCTCCTCCCCTCCTCCTCCTCGTCCCCACAATGGAGGCCTAATAATTGCCTAGGCACCACCCAATGCTCAAAAACCCTGCTCTCGCAATCTCCCAAATGGGCTGCAAGCTGAGGTCCGGGCATCGGGTACGCTGAACTCAACGGCAAACTCTGCCGCGCTGGGAACAACTGCCTCTTCCTCAGTGTGACCCTAAACCCCAAACCCGAAACCCTAAACCCTAAACTTAGACCCTTCACCCTAAACCCTAAGCCCAGAGTTTAGGGGTTGTCAGGGTGCCAGGGGCTGGAGTTGAGGCTTTAGATGGCAGTTTTGTTTGTAAGGTCAGGAGCTATTGTAAGGGTTCGAAAAATGGTCGGCTTTGGATAGCAGTCCTAGGGTGTAGGGCAGTGTAGGGCAGGCAGTGTAGGGGTTAGGGTTGAGCTTTGGGTTGAGGCTCTAGGGAGCATGGAGTTTCGGGCTTAAGCGCTAGCGCTTGCCGTTTTCAATTTGGGGCTCACGGCATGGGATCTCGGGTGGTGTTCAGTTTGGGTTCAGGGTTTCGGGTCTGCATGCCGCGCGCTGGCATTCACAGAAAGCTCTCAAGCACCGCAACCTGTGTACTGTCAATGAAACCGCTCATCCATCCAGTCCCCGGCAAGCTCTGACCGGCTTTGCCAAACTCCAAGCCCTGAGCCCCCCCAAAACTTGTACACGTACATGGCCTTAGGGTGCAATACCCTAAGATCCCCTAAGAACCTACCCCCTTCACCTGACAACCCGAAACTAAACCCCGAGCCAGTACTGCTTGCAGTGGCGTCGCCGGCTCGGGCAGTGGCCCCTGGCTTGGTTTAGGATGTAGGGCCCCTAAACCCTAAACCCTAAACCCTAAAACTCTAAACCCTAAACCCTAAAATCCTTAACCCTGTTGAGGGTTTAAGGCTCAGAGCGGAGGCCCCGCTGCTCTCCTATGATTGTGATGACGAGTATGGACACGATGGCTGACCCATTATCTATCTATCTATCTATCTATGTGCATACATTTATTTCTGTATTTATTTATATCTATATATATGTATATATATATATATATATCCGCGCTGAGCTATACCACGATGTCATGAGAGCAACCTGCCTTCATTGCAGCAGAAGAGCTCTATAAGGCTCACTCTTGGAAAAAGGCCACCTTTTTTGGGGGGGACCTTTGGGGGGGGGGGGGCGCCTGGGCGCCGCTCTTCTTTGTCTCACGGCGCGTCAGAAACTCCAGGCACTTCACGATGCCCGTGGCCACGGCCATGACCACCGTGCCTCGCTTTTTGGCTTTTCTGGGGGTGTGTGGGGTCTCGTGTCGGGTTTCGGTTCCTTTTTAGGGCTGTTTAGTGGCAACTCAGGGCCGTTGAGGGTTTAGGATATCGGGCCGTTTGAGGGGTTTTGGGCTGTGGCGCTCAGACTCGGACATGCCAGGCAGGTCTGGTGCTGGTGAGTGAAACGATTCCTAGGTCATATTAACACAACCCCCCCCCCTCCCCCCACCACCCATCCCGACGCACCGCCGCCCGCTGCCCCTCCAACCTACATGAACATCCGGCATCACGCATCGAAGGAAAGCCCTATCCAAAAACTCCGAGCCTGCGAAATCCTGCGAACACGACCTATAATATAGGGGCCTGAATATTTTGGGGGGTCATCATAGGAGAATTACAAAGGGACCGGAAGGAACAATCGCTGGCAATTACTCCTCTACATGATGCTGCCCATCATGCTCCACAGTTCTCTACTCTCTCTCATGCCCGGGATGAGCTCGGGCAAGTATCAAAAAGGTTGGGACGAGCTCTCGAGAGGCAGGCGGCCCCGGGTTTTGGGTTGCTGGACCCTAAACCCTAAACCCTAAACCCTAAACCCTAAACCCTAAACCCTAAACCCTAAACGGGGTTAGGGATGCTTAGACGGATGTTCGGATTTAAGCTCGAAGGCTGGGGCTCGAGGGTTCAAGGTCAGGGTGAGCTTCACAGCCCGTGAAGGGGCTACCATCCCGCATTATGGTGAGTGATTATTCTGGACACTACCAGTATTGCAGTCTTCTGGTTCTTATTCTTCTTATTGAGGCAGTTCTTCTGGATGTCATTCTTATGGTTGCTATGAGTATGGATACTAAAAACATCCTACTTACTGGGCAGGTGCCCGGGGTCCCCGGCATTGGAGGTCCGTTCGCAGCAGTATCGCGACCAAGGATTCGCGGAGCGCCTTGTGCAAGCACACAGCACAGCGTCTAGCAAGACTTCAGAGTCCGAGGTCAGCGGAGGTTCGTCTGAATTAGCGGGCGAGTTTCTTAGAAACTGAAGGCCCCCCCCAGAAGAGTGGCAATCAACGCGTCAGATCAGGCCATGAGAGCTGCAGCATTTGCAAAGGTCAGGCAGGCCTGCTCGTCCGGCTACCGTGTCGTCTAGGGTGTGGGTTTAGGATTTTAGGATTGTAGGATTGTAGGATGTTAGGATGTTGGGATTTTGGGGCTTTAGGGTTTTAGGATTCAGGTTATTAAGGGTTGCCCAACGGACCTGCGTCTCGCTCTGGTTGCAGAAGACGCTTGATTCCTTCTTGCCTGCAGGGCAGCGAGCAAACAGGAGCCTCAGGAAGCCTGACTCTTCCTTAAGCCCCTGGCTGTAGACATGTAAACCTGGCCTGGCACATATGCCGAGAACTCGGAAAGCATCCCAAAACCCCACACCCGATGCTCAAACGGCCTGCTAAACCTGGAACTTTTCTCAACCCTAAACCCAGGCCTTTGGCTTTCCTCTGACCTGCTTAGCCAGCGCGCTGTTTCGCACACGCACAGACACACACTGACTGCTCCGCGGCAAGTGCTGAAGTGCTGAGCCACGGGCTGTCTTTGGCATCCGAGGTGCCTCCGGCAGCTTGTGGAAACGAGGAAGACACAAAAGATGGCTCGGAAAGGACAAAAGCTAGACAAAAGCTAGGGAAGCTGAAAGTGCCAGAGGCAGCAGCCAAAAAAACAAAGAGCGAGTGCACTTAGAGTTAACTTAACAGAGTTTACACTGGGAGTTCTTTCCTTCTAGAGCGTTTACTTTGAGAGCCGCCTTCGAGAATCAGCTTGGGGGTTTTGGGGGTCGCGCCTGGACGGCTCTGGGCCTCCTCGTCCTCCTTGTCCTCCTTGCCTTGTGAGGTGCGCTTCTTAGGTCTACCTCTTATTAGTATAATAATAACCATTATAATAATACTAATAATGATAAAGATTATCGTTACTAATATTTCTACTACTATTATTACTACTATTATTATATTATACTAATAAATATTATTATTTTTGTTATTATTATTAATTGTTACTATCAGTCTTTTTATTTTTATTGTTATACTTATATGGTGATTTCTCTAAATTATGGTCCCTTTTGGGGTCCTGGTTATACGGCGGCCCCTCGTATTTAGGGTACCCGAAAGGCAGCTTACTTTAAAGAACCCACCATTATCTTACCGTCGATCCCAACCACAACACTGGATCCCGGTGCATGCTTGGCTTTGAGGGACTCCGCGTGCGCCCGTAAGTCATGGGGAGTTCCAACGGAACCCCCTTCTGGCTTCCACATTGGTCTGCGCGCAAGCCATTCGGCCAAGTGCTTGTAGGTAATATTTCTCCCACCCGAGCTTGTCCCATGGATTCTTCCCTGGTTTGGCTGGTATGGAAATCGACGCCCTGCGTGGAAGGTGGGGCCGAAAATGCCTCTGAAGGCAGCCCGGACAACACGACGGGCTTCTTGTAAGCGAGGCGAACTCCGAAGCAAGTTGCACCAGATCTAAAAAGCAAGCTTGGAAGAGCTGGAAGTCGGAGAAGCAGCATGGTTACAAGAATTACGCGCGCAACCACAGCCTGTGGATCCCAGAGTGAAGCACTCATCAAAGTTAGACGAAAGGAATCAAACCCTAAGCCTTAATCCCTAAACCCTAGACCCGGTAAAACCCTAAACCATGCGACCGTACGCAGGTCTACAAAAATTAGGGAAAGGGAAACCCGAAACCCTCATTTAAAGAAAACCACCCATAAATCAGGAGCCCAGCTGCGGTCCGCAGCGGCCGCTGCGCCCAAGAGCCGGGCCACGAGACCGCAGACAGCGGCCACCTGCGCGAAGGCGGCGCACGGGTCGTCTTTAGGGTTTCGGGTTTGGGGGTTTTAGGGGTTTTGGGGGTTTAGGGTTTAGGGTTTAGGGTTTAGGGTTTAGGGTTTAGGGTTTGGGGTTTAGGGTTGAGGGTTTAGGGTTTAGGGTTCAGTCGGAACCCGAATCCAACGAACCCTGTAGAATTAACCCTCTAAGCCCTGATCCAGTGGCTCAACCCTAACTTTGAACCCTAGGCACCGCCGAACCCACCTCGGTGCTAAAGGAGAGGCTCTGCGACTTCTCCGACTTCTCCGTCTCCGCCAGGGCTTTCGTGCTGAGCACCACCTGGCTTTGGGCTTAGGCTCTAGGATTCTCGGGCTTTGGGCCTTTGGCTTAGGAGTTTGGAGTTCTATTAAATTCTAGGATTCTTGGGTTTTGGGCCTTTGGCTTAGGAGTTTGGAGCTTTAGGGTTCAGGATTTCGGGTCTGGTGTCCCTAAACCCTAAACCCTACACCCTAAACCCTAAACCCTAAACCCTAAACCCTAAACTGCCGAGAGCGCCGCTGTCCATTTACATGGGCGCTCGAGGCTTCGACCGAGGTCCCCGACCGAGCGTCTCTACAGAACGGTGAGGGAGGGTAAAGCCTCCCGGTAGACGAGGCCTGCAGTGCCTGGCTACGCCTCAGACCTAGGGCGTAAGCCCTAATATTTAGGACCCCAAACCCGCCGTTGAGGGCGTTTTGGCTTTTTCAGGGGGGTCGGGGGGACCCTTCTAAGACCCGCTGGACGTATTTTGCTCCAACCTCCCCTACCATCCTGACACAGCCTGGGATTTCTGGGACCCTCCTGGGACCCCCCTGGGGACCCCTAAACTGACCTTCCTCGCGGCAGGGGCCGGCCGCAGCCCTAAGGCCGGGGTTTGCCGGACCGCCTGGGAGACTCTGGACCCCCTGGGTCTTGATTTTGGTAGGGATCTGGTGGGACCTCCCTGGACCTGCCTGGGACCTCCCTGGGACGCGTCAGCAGGGGCCGGCCAAGGCCCCTGCTTCCCCGGCTGCGTGAGTCGGGGTTTGCCAAGACCCGCACTGAACATTTGACGGTTTTGGGCACCCCTCCAGTTCCGTGAAAGCTCCAAGAAGCCTACGAGCCGCTGACAGGCTCCACAAAGCTCGGGAGGCCCCACCCTGCTCTTTCTCTGTCAAAAGCAAGAAAGCCCCCCTTGAGGGGGGTTTGGGGGGTGAACCCTAAACCCTAAATGAGAATAGTTTGGGTGGTTGGGGTGGGACTACATGCTAACGCAAGCGAGCGGCCCGGGTGCTTTTAGCACCAGCGAGCTTCCCTTCTATACACCCTAAACCCTAAACCCTAAACCCTAAACCGTTTGGGTCTTCGGGGAGTTTCGTCCCCCGCCGCCTCCGAGGCCAAAGCCCGACGGGGCTCCACGCAGAGCCGCGCCGTGGAGGCCAGGGTGGTGGCCAGGTGCGGCATGCACTTCTGCCTGTTTAGGGTTTTGGGTTTTGGGTTTGGGGTTTGGGGTTTAGGGTTTAGGGTTTAGGGTTTAGGGCTAGGGTTTAGGGTTTAGGGTTTAGGGTTCAGGGTTTAGGGTTTAGGGTTTAGGGTTTAGGGTTTAGGGTTTAGGGTTTAGGGTTTAGGGTTTAGGGTTGATTCAGAAAAGCTTGGGGAAGCTTGCTCAGTCTACTCAGTCTGCTCTCTTTCTGCCGAAGGAAAACGGGCAGCACGCTAGTCAGCGCACAAAGCGCGGACCGAATCAACACAGAACCGTTTAAGGGTGCAAGCCGCGAACGCTGTAATACCAGGGCCCTAAATTTCCTAAATAATTGCAGCAGTGCCTGGGGGGCAAATGAGAGAAAAGTGCCACATTCTTACGTAGGGATTGTAGGGACATCGCAATTATCTGGGCAACTATGTTCAGACCCCCGCCCCGGCCCCCCCAAAGTGGCACCCAAAGAAGCCCTTCTCTTGCAGCGCGAGCCGCATTGGGATGATGGCGCCGGTGTGGGTCAAGTGCATCCTCTGGCTGTGACTCAGCGGCTGGATCTGCTCCTGCGCACTAAAGGAGTTGAGACTGTAGAGTATAGAGGGCCCAGGATAAGGGCAGACGGCTTAGGATTCTTAAGCCATACTGTGAAGATAGAGGACTTAGAACTTAGGGTAGATGCTTTTAGGTATAGGAGAAACACCATCGAGATCCCTTCCCACCTGCCAGACGTCTGCCAGCTGGGCGAAGCGTGGCATCAGGTGCCTCGCCATCAGGAGCTGTGGGGCTGTTTGAGTCTTAAGGGAATCAGGGAAGGATGTAGGCTTGAGAATGTTGAGGGTTGAAGTTTAGGATACTTAGGGCCCAGGGGGGCTTGGGGGTGCAGGCGCCTCGTCATCATCAGCAGCAGGCTCTTTGGGGGAGCTTTGTCTTGCCGGTCTGGAACCACCAGGGAATTCTCCGGCAGGCTACTGGGATTGGTGCCCAGGGGTAGGGCCGGCTTCATGGTGAGTGCGCTCATACCAGGCACACGCGACACCAGCGCGTCCAGAACGAAGAGCAGGGCATTGGAGTCCAAGGCCAGCGGGAAGAGCGGCGGGAGTTTCGACGGCTCCTTACCTGCCTCCTCCTTCGACTCTTTGCTTGCCTGTTCCTTCTCCTCCTCTTTGTCCTCCTTCTCCTTCTTCTTCTCGTCCTTCTTGCCCTTCTCGCCCTTGGCTGCGTCCTCCGGCTCTGGGCGCTTGGAGGCGTCGAAGATCTTTGGGAAGGCGGTGCTGTGCTGGAGCTCGAGGTTGAAGCAGATCTCTGCCACAAGGGTCTGCAGCATCACCAGGGCCCCCGGGTGGGGCGCCGGCTTTTGCTTCGACCTTTCAGTAGTAATAGAAGTAGAAGTAGAAGCAGAAGAAGTCGTCGTAGTAGTAGTAGTGGTAGTAGTAGTAGTAGTAGTAGTAGTAGTAGTAGTAGTAGTAGTAGTAGTAGTAGTAGTAGTAGTATCAGTATCAGTATCAGTATCAGTATTAGTATCAGTATCAGTATCAGTAGTAGTAGTAGTAGTAGTAGTAGTAGTAGTAGTAGTAGTAGTAGTAGTAGTAGGAGTAGTAGTAGTAGTAGTAGTATTTCCGAAGAGCCCAAACTTGGCTAAACTCGAACGGGGGGTTTCTTTGCAGCTCCGATCCAATCCGGGCCTCTCCGATTCCGGCAGGGGCTCCAGGACGATGGAGCTCTGGTCCGAGGACTGTGCTTTCTGAGTTACGGCCTGGCCACTGGCTTCTCACACCTAGAGATGATATGTATACACACAGGGAAACATATATACATGAAAAAACTCATGTGTGTATATACATATGTATACATAAATAGAGATACATATGTGTGTCTGTGTGTATAGATCCACTCAACCTTTGATTTAAAGTGCATGTATGCACTAAATTCAAAGATACGTAAGTCAAGAATGAAAATCAATACATCTATATAGATACACATCTATACATACACATGCATGCGTGTGTGCAAGTGCTATTCTAGAGAAGATGTGGTAGGGAGGATGGGAGGGAGAGAGAGAGAGACAGAGAGAGAGACAGAGAGAGACAGAGAGAGAGACAGAGAGAGAGACAGAGAGAGACAGAGAGAGAGACAGAGAGAGAGACAGAGAGAGACAGAGAGAGACAGAGAGAGACAGAGAGAGAGACAGAGAGAGACAGAGAGAGAGACAGAGAGAGACAGAGAGAGAGACAGAGAGAGACAGAGAAAAAGACAGAGAGAAAGAGAGAAAGACAGAACCGCGTACATACACCCCGTGACGGTGGCCTTCAAGGCCTCTCCGAAGATGTCTGGGTTGCGGATGAACAGTGGGTTCAGTCGGCTCGCAATCTAAGTGCTCAGCTGTGGGACGGTGCCAAGACGCAAGGGTCTTGGTTTAGGGTCTACGCTTTGGGGCTTAGGATTTGGGGGCCTCGGGGTCTTCGAATGCAACACACGCAGCGTGGCAAGCAAATGCATCTATCTACACCGCATGCGCGTACACCACGCTAGGCCCGGCACTTGCTTGATGGGAAGCGTTTTCACCTGCACCATTCCACAGAGAGCCTCCAACATATACCCCAGACTGTACAGGCGCGTAGAAGACAAACTACACCTGTTTGCCATACTTCTGTCTTCATCTCTATTTATGCACCTACCGTAGAACCCTATGTCCCTACATTTTATGACAAGGTTAAGAAAAAGCTGTGGCTGCGAGTGCTCGCTGCAGTCCGCCTGCTGTGAGAAGAGGCCCAGGATCTCAGTCTCCATCCTCGCTCAGCAGGGCAGGGAGCGCTTGAGATTTTTCAGTTTCGGGCTTCGGGTTGAGGGTTTAGGGTTTAGGGTTCAGGGTTTAGCGTTTAGGGTTTAGGGTTCAGGGTTTAGGGTTTAGGGTTTAGGGTGTAGGGTTTAGGGTTTAGGGTTTAGGGTTTAGGCTGCGAGTTCAGTGTCCCCAAACCCCAAACCCAACAGCCTTTAACTCTAACCCCTAGGTTCAGGGGCCTTGCTTGCAGCGCCGGGCCCTCTTCCATGAGGGTGACCGCAAGGTCCGCGACCATCTGCAGCCTCGGCAACTCTCCACGCATGAAGCGCAAGGCTTTAGGGGTCGGTGCGGGTTCAAGCGTTTTTGGGTTTAGGGTGTAGGGTTTGGGGTTTTGGGGGGTTTAGGGGCTTTGACTTAGGGTTTGGAGTTTTGGATGTGATAGGGACTCTCGTACTCTAGATATGCAGGGTGGCAATATGAACATGAGATTCTAGGGAGAACATGGAGCATTGCAGAGGCAATCATCCCTTAACTCCCCCGCCTTACACCCGGTGAAGCGGCTGCGGTTTAGGCCCAAGTGTTGGCATTTGCACTGCTTTCGGCACCGGACTCTAGCCACAGGGGGGTGGCGGGGGGAAATAGCATTGAGGGGACTGGGAATGCGAAGCACGGACACATACAAACCCGACCCTGAAGCCCTTACCTCGAAAAGCAAAACGAAACGAGACAACCTCAACTGAGCCCCCAAAAAAGGCCCTAAACCCTAAACCCTAAACCCGAAACCCTAAACCCTAAACCCCAAGGCCCCAAACCCCGAGGCCCCTCAACGTCCTAACCCCTGCGGACCCGGCATGCCGGTAAAAATCGTCTTCCGCGCCAACCGCAGCAGGACGATCATGCCGCCCGCTGTCTCAGAGGGGACCTTGCGTCTGCGAGGGAAAGGAGGTTCTTAGGGTTCAGAGTTCAGAGGGGTTTTTGGGGATGGTTATACTATATAGATTCTATAGTAGAATATTCTTCAGGGCTCAAAGCTTGATGTCCGGGGATGCTTTCCAAGCAAAGTAGTAAGTGGGTAGTCCGGGGCCTTGTCGGAAGAAACACCCCCCCCCCCCGGGCCCCCAGTTTTCGCATTGTGACCCCACTGAGCGCCTACTTGCTAAGGGTGCGAAGCTTTGAAGCAGGATCCCCCCGCTCAAGCCGCTTAACATTTCGTGTACTTCACTTGCGCACCTTCGTGCTTTGATGCTGCTGTCTGACAGCCACAAGCGGCTCGAAGGAACCGAGCGCGGTGTTCTGACATGCTGTATGTGCTACCAGTCTCTCTGCGTGGCCCACTCTGTGGTACGCGGGGGGTGTGGCTCACGCTATCTCCCTGTATGCGAGTGTGCGAATGTCCGCCATGGATCCGCGGCACTTGGGGCGCGCTTGCGATTATGATGCTTGTTGGTTTGTGTTTGGATCCGTGCGGGCTTGGCATCGTGAAGATTTACTATGAAGGGCCGAATGGAAGTGTGGAAAAGCAAGCAACGAACAAACGCACTAATGTCGTTTTACTTGTTCGCGTATGCCTGGGAGATAGATATGCAAAATCATGAAAACAAAGATGTACATAACTGAGTGTAGATCTCTCTATATGCACCCTAAACCCTAAACCCTAAACCCTAAACCCTAAACCCGAATCATCTAGGGGGGGGGGGGGGGGGGGGGGGGCCTTCAGCTTGCCATCCGCATCCAGGGAGAGCCTCGGCTGGTACTCCAGGAAGGCGTGGGCCCCGATCTGGGCGGAGCAAAGCCTGCGGAGGAAAAAAATGTCCGCGGGCGCTAAGAGGAGGAGTTCAGGGTGTAGGGCTTAGCATATGTCTCCCTCTAGCCTTTTTTTCTCTCTCTCTCTCTCTCTCTCTCTCTCGCTCCTTCTTCTTCCTGTTCCTTCTTCCTCTTCCTTCTTCCTCTTCTTCCTCTTCTTCGTCTTCTTCTTCTTCTTCTTCTGCTTCTGCTTCTGCTTCTGCTTCTGCTTCTGCTTCTGCTTCTGCTTCTGCTTCTGCTTCTTCTTCTTCTTCTTCTTCTTCTTCTTCTTCTTCTTCTTCTTCTTCTTCTTCTTCTTCTTCTTCTTCTTCTTCTTCTTCTTCTTCTTCTTCTTCTTCTTCTTCTTCTTCTTCTTCTTCTTCTTCTTCTTCTTCTTCTTCTCTTCTTCTTCTTCTTCTTCTTCCTCTTCTTCTTCTTCTTCTTCTTCTTCTTCTTCTTCTTCTTCTTCTTCTTCTTCTTCTTCTTCTTCTTCTTCTTCTTCTTCTTCTTCTTCTTCTTCTTCTTCTGCTGCTTCTTCCTGTGCCACAGTGAAGGGATCGCCTCGGGGAGCCAGGTTTTTGTTGGGTGTTTTTTGGGTTTTTTTTTGGGTATGTTTTAGGGTTTAGGGTTCAGGGGTTAGGGCTTAGGGTTTAGGGTTTAGGGTTTTAGGGTTTTAGGGTTTTAGGGTTTTAGGGTTTTAGGGTTTTAGGGTTTTAGGGTTTAGGGTTTTAGGGTTTTCGGGTTTTCGGGTTTTCGGGTTTTAGGGTTTTAGGGTTTTAGGGTTTTAGGGTTTTAGGGTTTTAGGGTTTTAGGGTTTTAGGGGTTTAGGGGTTTAGGGGTTTAGGGTTTTGGGGTTTTGGGGTTTAAGTTTTAGGGTTTTAGGGTTTTAGGGTTTTAGGGGTTTAGGGTTTAGGATTTCGGGTTTAGGGTATAGAAAACAAAAAACACCAAAAAAAAGAAAAAAAACACCCAAAACGAACCCCCTACCCTCGCCTCGGCCCTTCTTTCTTGACTATCAGCCCCCCAAGCAAACTCGATGTTGAGGGGTTTTGTGTTTAAGGGTTTCGGGTTTCACGCACCTCAGGAGAAGTTGGATGGACGCCAAAGCGAGGCCTGGCTCGGCTCCTGCGCGAAAGACCCTAAACCCTAAACCCTAAACCCTAAACCCTAAACCCTAAACCCTAAACCCTAAACCCTAAACCCTAAACCCTAAACCCTAAACCCTAAACCCTAAACCCTAAACCCTAAACCCTGCACGCGAAAGAATGGACTGGCAAAAGCGAAGGAAGGACACGGACTCTGGGGACCCGACGGTGGAGGCTTTTGGGGTTTCGGGGGGGTTTGGCAGCTACTTCTCTTGGTGCGGTTTTGAGCGCCTTCTTTCTTTCGCTCAGAATCTCAGCATCCGGAATTCCCAGTACTTCAGAATTTCGAGCTTTCAAGGCTGGAGGCCTCTGGGGGTCTTGGGGGTTCGCTTCTTTGTGAGAAGGCTTGCGGCGGCGATGCGCGGCGCTGGCGTGAAGCTTAAACACTCAACTTCAGGCATGTGCGTTGCGCCCACATGGTGTGCCTGCTGATGGGCAATGGGGGGGGAGCTTGGGGGGGATGAGATTTGCTTTTTGGTCCCTGAACTCGCAAAGTGTCGAAACTCAAACAAAAGGATAGACTGCCTAGACCGCGATATCCTAAACTCCCAAACCCTGAGCCCTAAAGCCTCAACCCTAAACGGGCTGCCGCGCTTTGACTCCATGCCGAAGTGCAGCTACAGCAGTGGCGCCTGGGAAAGCGTACAGAATGTCCAGCACCCCTGTGACCCAGCTCTTCTGCACCTCGTTGCCTGGCAGAAAGTTGTCTCAAGTGCTGTGCGAATCATCATGTATCATCGTGGGAACGGAGATGGGAAATCAGAACCGTAACCACCAGTGTCATAACGTACTCTTACCATCAAACTGCAACAACACTTCTCAGCATAGCACAGCACTCGTCCTGATGGCCACCACGTATGCAACACATGCAAAACTCAGGTTGTGACGAAACTCCAATAGCAGCCAAAGTGAACTGTGTCTATCATAATCATGACCGTGGCAACACGCTGGCAGAAGTATCGTGGTCGTCGTGGTTGTTGTGGTCGTCGTGGTCGTCGTGGCCGTCGTGGTCGTCGTGGTCGTGGTGGACGTAATTGTCGATGTCGTTGTCATGGTCATCGCTATAGCCGGCGTCTTTGTCGTCGTCAGCATCGGGATCAGCGGCGAAGTCGTCGTCGTCGTCGTCGTCGTCGTCGTCGTCGTCGTCGTCGTCGTCGTCGTCGTCGTCGTCGTCGTCGTCGTCGTCGTCGTCGTCGTCGTCGTCAGCACCGTCGTCGTTGCAGCAGCGGCTAATCGTCGCCGTCCTCTCGTTCCCATCGCTGTCGCCGTCACCATCACAGTGGCCCGTGAAGCAGCAGCAGAAGTAGAGGTAGCAGCGGCAGCAGTAAATCATAATCAAAATAACACTAAACTAATGAGAAGAGGAGCCGTCCTATCTAGGCAAAAATATCGTGAAGAACAGAATGTACGATGAATTGGCAACGGACAGCCCCAAACCCTAAACAAAACCTGTGTACAAACCCGTATGCCTAAAGCGCCAAGACTTGCAGGGCAGGCTCAACGATTCCCTTCCCTGGCGAAGTTGGACCAGGTCCACGGAGATGAGAAGTTGGTGCGCGCAAACCATCACCTCGCTGGGTTAAGGACTTAAGTTCAAGGTGTATGACTCCTACTACTACTACTACTACTACTACTACTACTACTACTACTACTACTACTACTACTACTACTACTACTACTACTACTACTACTACTACCACCACCACCACCACCACTACTACTACTACTACTACTACTACTACTACTACTACTACTACTACTACTACTACTACTACTACTACTACTACTACTACTACTACTGCTACTTCTTCTCTACGACTCCGAGTACGACTACTATTTCTCTTACCATCACTTCTAGTGCTAGTACTACTGCGATTCTGTGTTCGCTGGTGGACGTGCTCTTCATGCCTGGTGTGTAGGGGGTGGGTAAGGGTTTAGTGGGGGCTTACGCTGTTTCCTGCGACTGGGAGGCCTGGCTACGCCACCTGATTTCGAAATGCAGGGCTGTTGCAGCGCAAGCCGCCGCCTAGCCTCCTCCATGCACGCTTCTGCACCCTGGTAGAAGCCATAAACCCTGAACACTGAATCTGAACCCTAAACCCTACCACCTAAACTTGAGACCCTCAACCCGACACCCATTCTTCGCTTCACTTATCCTGTCTGGGGCTGGGGCTGGGGTAAGCCAGGCGGGCGGCGGCAACAGCGGCCCACCCAGGCCCTCCGGTGCTGGAGCAGCCTTGTGAAAATTGGGTTCAGGGTGTCGGGGCTTAGGGATAGGGTTTCGTTAATTGAGTAGTGGGTCTGAATTATGAACAGGTCGTATGTACCTCATAAGGGGCCCCGTACGGTATGTCTAAGAGTCTTACCTTCACCGGCTCGTAGCCCTGTGTCCATTGTGGAGGGCGCTGTGGGCGGGCGGTGGGATGTCCTTTTGGTAAGCTCCCTCTCGGGGCTACCTCAGGCTAAGCACATACCCGCACCGTAGGAGTAAGAATCATCATCATCATCATCATCATCATCCTCATCCTCATCCTCATCATCATCATCATCCTCATCCTCATCATCATCATCATCATCAACATCATCTTTTGTCATCATCATCATCATCATCACCACCATCATCGTCGTCCATATCATCAACCCATACCTACATAACCCAAGGTAACCTAACCTAACCTGACCTACCCCTACCCTTGCCTAAACCTCTTACTCACCCCAACCCCTACCTGTTCTACCCACTCACCCCGCAGACCCCTACCCGAGCGGGACCTACCCTAAACCCGAACCCAACCGGACCCATCCAGAAACCTCAAATACACTATACCCCAACGTAAGCCTAACTTCTTCCCCTGAGTTAGCCTGAAACTGAACCTCACCTACCCTTACCTACAGACCCAACCTAAGCCTAAACTACAACCTACCTTATCCAACCCATCCCTACCCTAAACCCCTCGCAGGGCAGCATATACCACGCAGATCTGAAGTTGCCGAACTAGCCTACCCGAAAGAGCTCATCTGACCTATCCTAACTCCGCCTAATCTGACCTGACCCCAACTTACCAACAGGACCGAGCCTAAGTGTAAAACATCGCAAACACTAACTTAAAGCTTCGTCCAGCCCCACGGCCTCATCTTCGAGACAAGCATGTGACTGCCGGCATTGCATACTAGAGGCACGCATCATGCGGTAGGGACCCTCGATGCCCTCAACGAGCTTTCGCCTCTGGAGGCCGAGTGAGGCTCGGGCCGATCCCATGCAGAAGGTGCGGTAGCCACGGGCCTGGCGCCAGGGCTTAAGGGATCAAAGGTTCTCCCCAGTTGTTCGAAGTGTGCCCAGCCGTCTAAGCCTTTTTTCTTCTGCTGGACTGCAAGATTTGGCTTACCTAAATCCTTTAGCATCTGGTCTCCAGGGATGACTGTATCTTTAAACTTTTCCCTCGACCAAAAAAAGCCACCCCAAAATCCGCAAGCCCCCCCCCACCACCGAGAAACACTGAACCCTTAAAAAAACAACCCTCAACCCCCTTAAAAAGTGCAAACGGTTCCCCTGCAGGGCGTGTCCACAGTCCGGGAGCAGGGCTAACGGCTCGACGTTAGCGTCGATGCTCTGCAGGGACCTTGCGAAGATGCCATATTGCTATTCATGTAATGCGACCGCTACGAAAAGCATTGGTAGCAGTAGCAGTCGAAGTCGTAGTCGTAGTAGTCGTCGTAGTCGTAGAGTCGTAGTAGCAGTGGTAGTGGTATAGTGGTATAGTGGTATAGTGGCATAGTGGTATAGTGGTATAATGGTATAGTGGTATACTGGTATATTGGTATAGTGGTATAGTGGTATAGTGTTGTAGTAGTAGTAGTCGTAGTAGTAGTAGTAGTAGTAGTAGTAGTAGTAGTAGTAGTAGTAGTAGTAGTAGTAGTAGTAGCAGCAGCAGCAGCGGCAGAGGATGTCATTCGTGCTCCTACCGCCACCTAGGCCTTAGCGCCTGCCATGACAAATAGCTTGCACCCATGAAAAAAAGTCGGAACCCTGGACCGAAACCCGAATTTTTTCAAATTCTATAGTCTACACCCTAAACCCTAAACCCTAAACCCTAGATTCCGACGGTAGGCATGACACATCGGCGCAAAACCCGATGCTGGGCTGCCCGACCACCTGTTCAGTTTCACCAGGAGGGACTCGGCCCCGGCGGGTCCAATTGCGGTAACGACCTGGCACACTTCGGGAGCTTAGGGAGCTTAGGCTTTGGGGAGAGTATGGGCTTCGGAGCATATTGTACTGGAGCTCTATGCAGGCAAGAGGCTGTTGCAGGGGAGAATCCGCTGTTACAGGGAGAATCCTTCAGGCCTCTATCGTAGGCGTGTTCACAGATTTCTGGGTTGCTGTCAAAAGCCTGTTAACATGAATGGCACCCCAAAACCATTCTGATATGATTTACTCCATCTGCAGCTGCAGATGAATGTGCATCATCATATGGCTCAGCTCTCTGACGTTCTTGATGATATAGTTGATGTTAGGAATGCGATTCATATGGTTCAATTTTAAGTGATTCATGTATATGTGTTAACACCCTAAACCCTAAACCCTAAACCCTAAACCCTAAACCCTAAACCCTAAACCCTAAACCCTAAACCCTAAACCCTAAACCCTAAACCCTAAACCCTAAACCCTAAACCCTAAACCCTAAACCCTACGCAGGTTAAAGCATCGTGCAGGCGCCTGCTGCCGTCGGTGCAGCAAGCTAGCCAAGACCTCGGGTTCACGGAGGTTCACGAGAGTGCAAGTGCTGTTTCTCGGTTTTTGTATTGGAGTTTAGGGTTTAGGGTTTAGGGTTTAGGGTTTGGGGTTTGGGGTTTGGGGTTTAGGGTTTAGGATTTAGGGTCCCGGGTTTAGGGTTTAGGGTTTAGGGTTTGAGCAGGTGTTGACGGAGTTTCAGAGGCCTTTCTGCGTTGTCTTTGCACAGCTCACCCGCCCTGCCCTGTCCGGACCTGCCCCTACCTGTCACTGTCCTGCAGCCCCTTGCTCAGCAGCAATGCAAAGCAGAGAGGCACCAGCAGTAGCGCTGAGCAAGGCGCAGCAGGGCATGGGCAGGGCCGACACACTAGAATTCATCCATTCACAAGATTCACAGAGGTTGGTGGACGATGGTGGCATACAATGTCCGTTGTCGCCAAGCCTCCGGGGTTTAGTTCAGGCCTGAGTTCAAGTTTCAGGCTTTACGCGCCACTCAGCCTAAAACTGAAGGGTCAAGGGCTTCGGACTCATTAATTAGGGTCCGAACCCCTGAGACCTGGCAAGTAGATTGCGATGGGCGGATACGTAGGAGTTCCACCTCAGCAAGACTATCTATCGCCTGCTTGCCAAGGCCCTTCAGCCGGCAACCGTGAGGGCAACCCTATGCCCAGAATAACCCTATGCCGCGCACATCCGTAAACCCCCAAAACTCAGAACTTTCATTCTCAACCCACCACCCACACGACCCAAGTCCTAAAGCCTGTTTCCTGCAGGGTGCTAAGGAACTGTAAGTCCTGGAAGCCTAAACTCTTCGGATGCGCCTGCGCCACGCACGCCAGTGCGTCGGCGGGCGGCTGCTCGTGGCTGTCGCCGAGGGCCTCCAGGCAGGCCTGCGCTTGGGAGGCCCCAAGTGTAGCTTCGCGGATAGCGGTGTGACTTGGTAAGTCGCTTACAAGCGAGGCTTCTGCTCGCCACTCTTGGGCCCTCCCCAGGAAACGCCTGAACAATCTTGGACCCCTGAACTGGGTTACATGCTTGCCCCAGAGCGAAAGACCAGCTGACACGTCTTACCCCTTACTTCACGTAGTCCGATAAGCCCCAGAGGTCCCCAACCCCCCCATCCCCCGCGACCCCCAACCACAAAGAAGGGGGCTTTGAGCCTGCACCACGGAGGAGGCATTGGCCTCAGGGCCATTCTTGCCAACCTGCAGGGTTTAGGGCTAGGATCTGGTCTTTTGGAGCTTGGGTTTAGGGTTTCATCTTTTGTAGGGCCTCCTTCTTTCGGGGTTCAGAATTCAAGGTCTAGTGTCTAGTTCGTGTTCAGGCTGGATTGAAGGGTGTTTGTTGGTGCCCTTTTCATTGGGGTCCTGCAGCACTTTCCTGGAAGCCTCTGTCCCACATCGGGTGCTCGGGCAGACTAAGCCACGGGCCCCACTGTCCCAAAGCTGCGTGGGCACCGCAACCTCAAGGCGTGTGCGCTTGCCTATTCGTCCGTTGGGAAGTGGAGCGTAAGGCATAAGACGCCAGAAAGTCCAGGAGCCACGCTATTGACCATATCTCGCTGTAATGGCAATGCTCCCAACCCCCTGCACTAAACCCGGGTCGTTGGCGATGAAGGCCATGGCATCGGCGACGACTGGAATGGCCTGGAGCAGCAAACGCTGGCGGGTCTTCTAAAGCTACCAGCACTGCTCCCTTCAGAGCAGGTACAAGCAATGCACCAAGGACCCTACGAATCCGGGGCCCCAGTTTTACCCCAAGCGCATGGCCTTTGGCACCTTCCTTCCGAAGAGAAGGATGCGAGGCAAGAGGTCCTCTTGTGCGCGCAATGGACTTTTGCATGTCGAGTCATGGTCCGTTGAGGAGCAGCCGAAGAGACCTTTCATAGGGATCCAATATCACCCTGATGGCTCTTAGGGTGCCAACAATGCAAGAAAAATGGTCAAGATAGACCCACAAAAGGACCTGAATGTACAACGGTCCTAGACCGGGAACTATCTTGAACGCCTAAACCCCCAAAATCCCTGAGCCCGAGACCCTAAACACAAAGTCCAAAGTCCTGACCCCCAAACCCCGAAATCCTAATCCTAAACCCGGCAAAAAAGTCCCCAAACCCTAACCTGCACACTCGGAGAAACCATCTACTGCTCTCCCTCCTCCCCGGAAGCCATATGGGAGCCCCTAATTTCGGAAACCCTAAACGCTAAGGCCTAAACCCTAAACCCTAAACCCTAAAACCCCAAAATGTAATGCTCTCAGGGAGGGCTCCTTGAGCATGTCGGCTACCAGATCTTGGAACTCCGTGGCTGTCTTGGCCTTCACTCCTTGCGGTTTAGGGCTTAGGGTTTGGGGTTTAGGGTTTAGGGTTTAAAGGTTTAGGCTTTAGGGTTTAGGGTTTTAGGGTTTAGGGTTTTAGGGTTTAGGGTTTAGGGTGTAGGCTTTAGGGTTTAGGGAGGGCTTGTATGCTGCTTTCGCTTCTTCGTCCTTGTCCCATGTCTTCTCGCTCTCCAACCATAAACAGCCCTAAGGCCTACTGACAGCTAAAGCCCAAGCCCTGAATCTTAACCCCCTCAAACAGACATCCTGAACTCTAAACGCTAAACCCTAGGTCCAAAACCCAAACACTTTTCGGCATCAACACCCATGAACCCTAAACTCTAAACCCTAAACCCTAAACCCTAAACCCTAAACCCTAAACCCTAAACCCTAAACCCTAAACCCTAAACCCTGAACCCTGAACCCTGAACCCTGAACCTGAACCCTGAACCCAAAGCAGCTCCAGGCCTGGAGGTCCTTCCGGTGCAGGTGTCGGGGACTCTGCCTGGTTTGGGGTTGGGGGGCTTTAGGGATTCTAGGGTTTACTTGCTGAGAACTCGGGTTTAGGGTTGAGGGTTTAGGGTTTTAGGGTTTAGGGTTTAGGGTTTAGGGCTTAGGGTCTAGGGTCTAGGGTCTAGGGTCGAGGGTCGAGGGTCTAGGGTCGAGGGTCTAGGGTTCTAGAGCCCTCCCCCCCTGTCCAGGCTTAGAGGGCTCTGGAGTTTAGGGCAAGGATTTGTGGCCCGCCGTGTCACAAGCACTCGCAATTCGTGGCTTCTGGCTCCGTCTGTTTCCTGAAGGCTCGACTCTGCAGCCCAAACCCGAAATCCTGTTCGAGTCAGGAACTTGCACTCGAAATCCTAAACCTTTCCTTCGTACATACATATACTTGCTTATGCAAAACCTTAAGTCTCCGCATGCGTTGATCAGAAACTTCTGCGAGGTGATAAAAACTCATGGGCATTGATCAAAAACTGCGTGGGCAGTGATTAAGAGATTCATTGGCGACTGTTGGGCGCCCGGACACTATATATACTTTGATCAATGCCCCGAGTTCTTGATCAAATGCCCTCGAGTTTGGGGTGAAGGGGGGGGTTCTAGTTCGAAAGCGGACGACTTGTGATCAATGCATCACACACACTCGCGGGCATTGATGAACAATTCGTAGGCAGTTGTCAAGTTTTGCCGGCGCTCACACCATTTCGCAGGCATTGAACAGAATTTCGCGCTCATTGGCCAAAAAAATTCGTGGGCATTGATTTTAGGGTCTACTGGGGGGACTGGTGGTTAGGGTTTGGGGTCTGCAAGGTCCTTCAGAGCTCACTCTGGGGAAGGGTTGGGATTCATGGGGGGCTTGGTCTCAGGGGGTTTAGCGTCTACTGGCGCTTGGTCTGCGGGGTTTAGGGCCACTGGGTTTTGGTATGCAAGGTTTAGGGCCTACATGGGTGGTCTTAGGGTCGATGACAAAATGATCGGAAGAGTCCACGATGGACCGAACATGATGACCAAACTTATGATGTGTGATTGACGCTGTGGAACCCAATGGGCAGGCGGGTACTTGCCTGCCCTCGGACAAGAACTGCTTATTAGCTCGTCAGCACTGAGCAAACCGAAAAGTCATCCGAAACGCTAAACCCTAAACCCTAAACCCTAAACCCTCAACCCTCAGCCCTAAACCCTAAACCCCTGCACAGGAGAGCCTCCTGCGCCGGAGGCGGTGAGGTCGCGGCCTCGTCTCCAGAGGCCTTGGCAGCCCCAGTCTCGGCATAAAGCCCTCAAACGCCCCGTAAAAACCCCAAAAACCCTTTTAAAAACCGAGCCCCAACGGCTCTCAGCCCTCGTTTCGGCCAAGGCCGCCCGAGCACCGGGCCATGAGCATGATGAGTGAGGCGATATCCTGGCGTCGTTTGTGGTTTTGTCGTCTTGCTTCTTAAACCCTTAACCCTTAACCCTTAACCCTTAACCCTAAACCCTAAACCCTAAACCTTAAACCCTAAACCCTAAACCCCAAACCCTAAACCGCAGCATGGGTCGCTTCTTTCTTCCTTGCGGTGAGTGGACAGCCCGGAGCCTAAATCCAACCCTACACATCCTACACTCCCCCTCCTCCCAGACCCCTCAAACCCCGAAGAATCAAGCGCTCAAACTCCGAAATTTCTCTGCCCCACCCCCCCCCCCCTATTGATCCGAAGCCCTCAACCTTAAAGTCTAGAGCCCCTCTACGGCAAGTCCAACATAAGCCCTGAGTTCTGATTCAGCTGCTGATTGTCAGTAGCAAAGTCTCGTGAAAGCTGATGTCTGGGTGTTCGGTGAGATGTGGATTCGGGTTTAGGGAGTTTAGGGACTGGGGATGTAGGGCAGTGTAGGCTTGGAGGTGAGGATTCAGAGGCACTTGCAAGTTAGAGCGCTCTGCAGCATCGCAAACTCCTATCTTCACAGGTGCCCCCGCCCCCCGAACGAGATCATCGCTGCACAGCCCTTCTGAATCCCTCCTGCAGCTCCTCTACGGGATCTAAGTTAGAACGACCCCCGAAAATACTTGAGATCAGCTTGGTTTGCGGCGGGTCGGGTGTTGCTGTCAACCTCCTGCAGACGTCGCCTTATCCAGCGTAGCTGAAACATTTAACATCGTGCTCCGAAACAGTTCCATGATGGTAGCCTTTATGCATATGCTTGAAGTTAGTATCAACGCGACATCTCCACTGCAGCTTTCCTTGAGAGCTGTCAAAGCTCTCGAGAGAATCGACTCAACAAAGGCGCAAGAATATGCACGCTGTGGCTTCTGCTCAATCTGCTCTTGTGGAAAGCCCATCTGGGTGAGAGATTCGACCTGAGCGCAGAAGGCAAAAGCCGTAGCGACGGGCAGCCTACTCTGAGGCTTATGGAACGACCCCGGCTAGAGTACTTATACCCAACGCGCGTGTCGCCGAATTGCCTAGTTGCCAGTGCGACGTACTTCCGCTGGAGCAGGGCAACGACACTCTCATCTTTATGACCATTATGACCTGCTTACCACGTCTGTTAGTATTTAGCTTCCACATACCCACGAACAAATCTGTCTAACTCAAGTACAAAAACACATACCTAAGCCTGCACATACGTAGACACACCAAATCAACTACACAGCTACACACCTTCGGACATACTTGCAAACCTAAAACCCTAAACCCTACACTCTAAGCCTCAAACCATAAGCACTGATACCCGAAACCTTGGACCCTAAGCCAGAAAGCCTCATAGACACGCACGACTATTGAATCGAAACTTTCTGCGTTCATCCGGACTGCTTTTATATGCATAGATTTAAACCTTGGTTTTGGTGCTTTCCTTGCGTGGAGGGTCTATAGGGCCCTTCTTCGGAAGGTTTAGGGCTGCTTCTTGTGGCGGCTTGCTTGAGGGTGTCTGCGTGAGATGGCCAGAGCGATCCATGTTTGCATAACTTTCACTGCTACTGCGCCTTACATCGCAGCAAGGCCCTATGTCCTGACTAACCCCCAGGCCGCCTCAACATCCCCAAACTCCCTCAAAAACACCCCCCAAAACCTCCCCAAACTACCCCAGGCCCACCAACACTCCCGAAAAAACTCCCCCAAACTCCCTCAAGAGACAAAAATGAATTCCAAAACAACAAAGAGCACTCGGAAGCCGAGATGCCATGCTTCGCCTCGTTGCTTCATCGGCCCAGGGCCCACGAGCCGAAGCCTCGGGCCGCAACTCGACGCGCTCCCTTCTCTGAAAGGTAGCTTAGGGGTGCAGGCTTTCTAGGGATGTTGGGGGTTTAGGGTTTAGGGTTTAGGGTTTAGGGTTTAGGGTTTAGGGTTTAGGGTTTAGGGTTTAGGGTTTAGGGTTTAGGGCGTAGGGTGTAGGGTGTAGGGTGTAGGGTGTAGGGTGGGCATGAAGATTGCATTTTGGGGGATTCAAGGGTTCAGAGCATAGAGGTTTTAGGGATTCTCGGCGCCATCGCAAGCCAAGCAAGCCGCAGGTCGCTCCTATGCCCTCCCAAGGGAAGAAACTGCACAAGCAGCGAGCGCTACACCACCACGGCGACGAGATTCTCAACATGATGTTGAACAACACTTTCTCTTCCCCTGTATGCCCCTGTCGTATCGGCTCTTCTCCCATCTGCTCAGCTCCCGGCTCCGCTTGTTGGAGCCTGTGCCTGGGTGGCGCTGTTGGCGGTGGCCGCAGCTGCGGCCGGCGTGGCGGCCGGCCTGCCGGGAGGGGGGTGGTGAACCCTAAACCCTAAACCCACCCTAAACCCTAAACCCTAAACCCTAAACCCAGGGGGGGGGGGGCTGACCCACTTGATTTGGGGCTTTCCGTGCTGGAAAGTGTAACCTTTTGAGGTTGGAGGTATCTAGTGTTGAGGGTTTCCATGGGCTTCCAAGAGTATCCCCCTTACAACCCTATATATCCAGCCACGATGAACTCGAAACACTTGGTAGACCTAGTAGTTAGAACATCACATGTCTCAAACTACACCACGGAGCTCGAAGGATCTCTAAAAAAAAACAGACATTAACATTTAAACTAGAAACTTCTATGACATCGACAGATAGACACATAGATCTGCTGCAGCCGCCTTGGCGGGATGGTCGCGAGGGCCGTCCAGAGAATGGACCCGACCTCGCCAGGGCGCCCCCAGGCTCTTGCTGCGGCTTCGGTTCATCGGGCTTGACTGCTATTTGCTGAAGGACCACCCAAAAAAACACAAAGAATCACAAGTCTTTTGCTTTAGGGATAGTTTAAGTTTTGCTTTTAAGGATAGGTTTAGTTTGGGCGTTCCATGCTGCAGCTCTTCTTGCTTGGAGGCTTGGAGACCTACTACGGTTGAGGGTGGTCGGGGACTTGGGTTTTCCCCCGCCTCATCGCGACTGCGCCGCATGCGCCGGAAAGCGTGCGAGGTTCAGCATTGCGCCAGACCTGGGCCGCGGGCCGCAGCCTTGTCAGATGAGGGGCACAAA